AGCCCCTCCCCCACGTGCCAGCAGGGCCCAGCTGCCCCTCCCGCCCCCACTCACTGTGGGTGCAGCTTGTAGAGCGTCCCGTCCACGCCCACCGTCACCGCGAGCTGCTCCAGGCCCCGGTTCTCCCGGATCTTCTCCACCACAGCAGCCACGGCTGCCCCGCAGAGCTGGGCCGCACGCCGGGCCACCGCCTGGCACACCTCCCGCACCAGCACACTGTCCTCGCCGGTGACGTGCAGCCCCAGCTCCTCCAGGATGGTGCACACCTGCCGCAGGGCCAGGCCGTCGCTGTGGGGACACCGGGGCACCGTCAGTGCGGCCCCAGGCCCTCGCCCCCCCCGCAGGAGCCATGGGCACCAACCGCGCCTGTCCCCTTCACCCTCCTGCGCCCGCCCCGCGCTCACCTCTCGATGGACGACAGGAACTTGGTCTGGAAGATGTCCGGGGTCTGGAGCTTGGGGGACGGGCGGCCTCGGAACAGGAACCCCTTGGCTGTGAGCTCCAGCAGGATGCGCCGGACGATCTCGCCCAGATACATACCACTGATGAGCTTCTCGAACCTGCCCCGGCAGGAGAGACCGACCGGCCGTCAGCACAGCTGCAGGGGCCCTGGCCAGCCCTGCCCCAGTACAGCCCTGCCCCAGGACGGCCCCTGGCCAGCCCCTTCTGCACCCCAGTACAGACCCCTGCCCAGCCCTACCCTGCCCCCAGGACAGCCACCTGCCCCGGTACAGCCCCTGGCCAGCCCTGCCCTGCCCCGGTACAGCCCCCTGGCCAGGCCTGCCCTTGTGCGGCCTCTGCCCAGGCCCGGTATGGCCCCCTGCCCGGCGTGGTGTGGTCATTGCTCCCCCCACCCCAGTACAGCCCCAGCACAGCCCCTGCTTAGTCCCTCTGCACCCAGTGCCCCACCCCTGCCACCCGGCCCAGCCCACCTCTGCCTGCCGGGGTTCAGCGAGGCCTCGTCCACCTGTCTGTCGAAGGGGGTGAAGAATGCATCCAGGCAGCCGTTGTCGCCGAACGCCCCCCACTCCATGTTGATGCACATCCGCCCCTCCTCCCCCGCCAGGGTGCCCACGTTCCGCAGCTCCTCCATGTAGCAGGCGTTGGTGCCTGTGCCTGGGCGGGAGGGAGGGGGCGTCAGCACAGGCCCCTTCCCGGCCAGGCTGGGGCAGCGTCCTCTCCCCTGCTGCACTAGCCCCTGGAGTGGGGCAATGCCCAGGGGCCAGCACTGCGGGGGGACACAGGCCATGTGCTACAGGGGGTGGGGGCCAGGCGGAGGGGGTTGAACACTGTCCTGGCTCCTGCACCCCCCAGGCCGGGCAGTGCCTTGCCCTGGGGCTGGGGGGGTGCGCCTGCCCGCTGGGCACTGGGGGGTGGGGGCTGCCACTTACCCACAATGAGGCCGACCTCACAGTTGAGGTCGTCGTAGCCACACGACATCATGGTTCCCACGGTGTCGTTCACTATGGCAACCACATCCAGCGCAAAGTGCTAGAAAGAATGAGACCCGTTACTAGGCAACACAATTCCCCGTCACCAGAGCAACAGCACTGGCACACTGCCCTCCCCGTCTCCTGGGAAACGGCCCCTCCCTCTGCGTCTTCCCGGAGGGAGCTGCCAGCCTCAGCCAGGCCGGGCGCCCACCTGCTCCCCAGACACGCCAGCATCCTGTGTCTGGGCATCACTGGGGCACCGTCAGGCTGAGACCGAGCATCACACAGCCCTGAGCCCCCCGGCAACCTAGCCCCTGCCCGGTGCTCCTGGCGCGATGCCCGGCCGGGCACAACACCCCCACCCGGGAGCCTAATGCCCCGCCTGGCCCGATGCTCCCAGCACGATGCCTGGCCTGGCACTACGATGCCTCACCCCACCCCTGCCCACTGGCCCAGTATAACGCCCTGCACCGCCCCCCCGGCTCAAGGGCTGCCTGCCCAGGCCCCCGGGCCGTACATTTCTGCGCTTCAGAGCCTCCCGGAGCAGCTTCACCACGTCCTGCCCCACGCAGCCTGAGGCGTTGAATCCTTTGGTCCAGCTCAGCAGGATGCCCTGGGGACCGGTCAGTAGGGTTGAGAGTTAACAAGCTACAGAACAGTCCACTTAGCAGCAACCTGGCTAGTAACACCTGCGGCATCATAGCACCAGTCTGCGGGCACCACCCAGCCCGCTGGCGTTCGCCTCAATGGGCTCCTGGCACCAGGCAGGCTGCTGCGCACCAAGGGCGCTGGGAAGACAGGCCCCAGCTGCAGGCAGGGACGGAAGCGCTGCCTGCCCTGGCCACGGCCCCCCCAGCCTCCCCTGGCACGTCCCAGCCTCCTCCTGGGGCATGGCCCCCCCCTCCAGCCTCCTCCTGGGACACGGCCCCCCCCC